CTCATTTCAGCACCCTCCATGTTGCTGATATTCATTCTAACTGTCGATGTTCATTCTGGTCGTCCATGTTGCGGATGGTCATTCCAGCATAGTTGTTTATGCCGATATTCATTCTGAAACCGTCCATGTTACTGATGATCATTCTAGCATAAATATTTTAGCTGATGTCCATCTCAGCAATGTTTCATTTCATCGATGTCCATCCCGAATCCATTTTACCACACTGTTGATTTTGGTTCCTCTCTGTAGGAGATTTATTTTGATGTTATGTTTCTTAGTCTTTCTTATTCAAGCTTATTGTATTCGATTTATATGCTCCAGCTTGAGGGGGAGTGTTAAGAATATTGGTAGAATAGAAGTTTAGAAGTCCTACATCATATATATCTCATTGTATATCTTTTCCTTTAAGTTATGTAATAGAACCTGTTTTGTGTAGTTTAGACACATGGATTACTCACAAATCTCTGGGATCCTGATATTTAATAGGATCCATGGACTTCTATTATAATTTGTAGCCCATATTTCTCGTTCAGATAAAGCATTTTACATTCAACTATTATCCTGGATGTTTCATGTCTCATTGACGATTATTCTCCGGTTGATATTAACCGTGAAACCAACTGGATCACTCCATGAGTGGAAAGTTTTATCGTATATTCCTAACATTTTTGTCACAAGAGAATTGGAACTCATGCTTAGTCCTCCAATTAGAAACAACCCCTTTTGGTAGTTCACTCCTAATTTTACTCCATGGTGTGTTTGTTAATATTCTATTCCAATATCGTTGGAGAAAAAAATAAGAAAAAGAAAGAAGCAATATTACAAAAGTATGTTCAAGTAAGGGGTTCGCGGTCAGGATTGGATCGATTTTGAAGCAAAAATCATCTAATCCAATCCCTTTGGTTTGATATTTTTCCAAATCTGATCTAATCCAATCTAATTTTATTTGGTTTGGATTGGATCAATTTTCAATTTTTTGAAAAGTCTAAAATTTCAGCCATAGTAAAACAAGTCTAAAAATTCATGAAGTGTTAAAATAGAGTAATAGACAATAAAAACTAAAATAAGATAGTTTGCTATCAGTAACATCCAAGATTCTCTGTCTACAAAACAACAAGATTCCAAGTCACCATCTTTCTCTTCCATAATTCACTCTTTTAACTTGCTCAATGCTCACTCTATTGTCTTCAAAATAACCAGCAAGACAACAACTTTCATGAAAATAAGAGATTAAGAGAGGGTTCAAGCAACAAAAAATTTAAAATAAATACATGAACAATTGAAATTAAAAAATAGCAACTTACATCATCAACTTTTAATCGAAATCCGCACCAAAATTATCATTACCTTTAGAGGAGATGGAAGGGACAGCGACAATGGTGCAGTGGAGGGAGCCTCTGGATTCTGGAACGAAAGTGGGTTCTTCAGACAGAAGAGGCACGACACGGGTGGGTATGAATTTAGGAATAGTCCATTCTAGAATTTGAAACAAAGGGAGTTACTGAACTAGTTGAAAAGGGCATTAACGAAATTTCAAAAATAATAAATACATAATACATTGGATCGATTTTCACCAACTAAACTGAAAAACGATCCAATCTAATTCTAATATGTGATTTTTTTTGGTTTTCGGTTTTTCAATTTTTAGTTAATTTTATTATTGATTTCTCGGTTCGATCACTGCGGTTTGAATCGGTTTGGATCGGTTAATGAACAACCCAATGTTCAAGTTGAGTAATTGAGAAACAATTCCTTTTTTATGTGTCTAACAAAATTTTTTCTCCAATAATTTCAAAAACTGAAAAACTTTTGAAAATTCAACTCAATAACAATCAAATTCTACGAGAAGGATAATTTTTAGAATGAAGATTATGCAATCAACTGTTAGCTGAACATTATGTTCATCAGTCCTTGGATATTTTATGGTACTTAAAAAGCATGGAATTTCAAGTTGGAATAGGATAATGGAAGACATGGACTTGACATGGAACGACATATTTTCACTACCTAGCAATTTGCTTGAAGTCAAATATTGAAATTTGTACTACAATTCTAGTCAGGCGCAGCGCAATGCATGGACAATATTTTGTGATCATAATAATATTACTATATTAGTCATATAATATTGTGTCTTCCTAGAAGTTATATAGCACAACATCTAACGCAAAAGGATTGGATGGAAAAAGTAAAAAAATAATTCTGCTTACCAAGAACTAGTCATTTACAGTTTCGAGCGATAGTATCATTCAATATAAAAACTTGTGCAATTATTGGCTAACAAAATAGGAATTGCTTGTGCATGAAGATGCGGAATTCGTGAAATATGGAAACATTATTTATTGATCAAAGTTGAGAATTTTTTAGCCAGCCCTGTCTCCTTCAAAGAAAAGATATTCTTTAATAATTAATGGGTTTTATTATTCTCCTTCAACATAAGATAGGTATCTTATGTTGTAGAGATAAAATGGGTGGGTCCCACCATTACAAGAAAAAAGAAAAAAAAGAAAAAGGTGAGGTGCGGAAATCGAAGTGAGAGAGTAGGAGAGAAGTAATCTTATGCAAAAGGAGAGTAATATTTCCCATAATTAATATGTGTTTTTGTTTTTCTTTGGTACATCCAAGGAGATAGCAGCCTAAAACTCCAGAAATCCAGTCACTGGATCAGATAAGCAAGCAAAAAAAGTGCTTTATTTTTTGTTTTAATAACTTCACATGAGAGTTAGAGAAAGTCAGAAAGAACAATCAAGATCAGCAATGTAGAATGATACTTCTGAAAGATATACAGAGAATGTGAAGGACATGTGATTTTCTTTCATCTTCTGCAGACTCTGCATATTATCCCAGCATAGCCCTGAAATAGTTGAAATGTCAGTAACACTCTTGGGCTATTCCTATCTGTATTTGGATTGATAAAATAACATGAAATTTTGGTTGATTGGTCAAAGTATCTTTATTTTTTTAAAAATATTAATATGCCCCACTTTGAAAATTATTTACCAATTTAATCTTATTCTGACCTAAGTTGATCACATCAGCCACGTAAAATACTCCAATATTAAACGTAGCGTGATTTCATTTATCCTTTAATCAAAGTTGACCGCATGAGTTGGGGCGGACTGAACTTGTCTCTTCCTAAATTTTAATTTTATTATTAGGAAAAAAGAAGTATCATTTAAAAGGACACAACTGTGTAAATTTGTATGACTGGTCATACTTTGTTTAAATTTGAAAAGTTGTTTTTTTCGCTCCCCTCAGTCACATCGCTGAGGTGTAAAGTGAAAAAAAGCCACTTTTCATTTTCAGAATTACGAGTATGACCGGTCATATTCTGTGTAAGTCACTAAAAAGACACAACTTGCATCCTTTTAAATGACACACACTAAACCCTTATTATTATAATCTAAAATAATATTTTTAAATAATAATAACTTATTAATGTTAATAATTAACCGCTTTTCTAAAAATACTCATAATAATTAATTCCTCTTATTAATCTTAATAAATAGTTTCCATTTTTCTTATATTGCTGGAAAAAATTATTTCATGTAAAAAAAATAACTATGTACTAAAGATAATATATAATTATAATGGTAAAATTATTTTTTCTCTCTCCGTCACATCAGTCGACAATATCTGAAGAGAGAGAAAAATAAAATAACTTTAATATTATAATTATGTACTACACGTAATACATAGTTTTTTTTTTTTTGCATGAGATGATTTTTTTTCAGCACCATAAGAAAAGGATTTCCGTAATTAAATTTATAATTTTAATATTTTATTTCTTCCCTCACCTTAAATTCTGGGTTCACCATTGCGCATGATCCCGTCGAAGATGAATGAAATCATGCTATTGTGTAAAGTTGAAGTTTAGGGCAGCGCCATGTAGTTGACTTTGACTAAAATGAGATAAATTGATAAATAATTTTCCAAATGAGATAAATTGATAATTTATATTTTTAAAATAAAATTTCAAATTTTATTTTTACTTGTGTATATCTTTAAGAAAGAGAGAGCAGTGAACTACTTATTTACGTGTATTTACTATATAAAATTAATTGATTGGTACTTGGTACAATGTTAGTTGGCAATGATCACCAAGTTGCTTATACCTTGCAACAATGGTGGAAGACTTCCTCAAATATTTTTTTTTAACTTTCTTGTTGTTTTTGCCGTTTTTGGTATTGTCAACTACTTTTCATTAACTATCCATTTATTCTTTTAAGTACTCTTTTGTCTATAGGAAGCTATATATACTACTAGCCTAGCTGTTAGGGTCAGTTTCTTATTATGCCAGTAACCTCTCATGCATTTGCAAGTCCTTCTTTGCATGTGCATCATGTTAAATACTACAGCAATAGTGGTAGCCATGAGTTTCACAAAAGTCTTTAATAAATCTCCTTGAAGTACCAGTTAGAAGAGAATGAAAGCAAGAAAGATATGAAGACTATTTCTTTCACAAAGAAAGTTGGGGCACATGGGAGAAGATACTTATCTTATCTGGTTAACATTTTGAAAAGTATACATATATTAGTAATTGATCAATAGTACAGAAAGCACATGACAAATGTATTGAAGGCCACTCAAAACATTGCACACCAACTCCAAAACATATTGTGGGGTAGAATATCACCCAAGCCAAAAAGTTAGGGGAATACAGTAAAGATAACAACCCCATAAACAAAGCAAGAGAAGGAAAAGGGGTAGGTGGTCCTACACACCCTTTTACAAGTATCCCACACAGGCTGTTAAAGGGAACCAAATAATGCAAATTCTGATGGGTCACATGGACTAGAAAGCAAACTGACACCACACATGCCCTTGTTTCCCAATTGCACATGCACATGGTGACTGTTCCCTAAGTCTCCCACCACTTAATAACAACACATCCTAAACCTTTTTTTTTCTTGAACTATGCAATGAAAAGCACACACAAACTACATTAAAATTCTCACAACATCTCACAAATAAAAAAAATAAACAAAAACATTTGGTCCTATCTAATATTATACACAAGGATTAACTGAAAGTAAACTATAGTTAGCACATTACATATGCTATTAAGCATACATAACTTTTTTTATGTCTTGAGCTCTTCAGGGTCAATCTCTTGTTCCTTATTTCTCAGTTGAGATTGGATTTATAAAGAGGGCTCTATGGTACAATGGGGACGAGTTGCCAATAATGTGCATTGCAAGTGCCTGTGGCAAGTGATTAAGTGGTCATTGGTGAGTCCAGCTGCTTGCATAAATGAATGAACCACTGTTGGACCAACGAACCTAAAGCCCCTCCTAACCATGTCTTTGCTTATGCTCTCTGATTTTGATGTCTTTACTGGGATCTTGTGGCCAAACTTGTATTGGGTGGAGATAGGTTTGTGATTGACAAACCCCCAAATGTACTTGTCAAATGAACCAAAGTTTTTCTTAACCTGTAATTCAACAATTTTCAAAAGCAAATATTAGCAAATGCTTAGTAAATAGAAATGTTTATTGCTTGATTTGTATTATCAGCTAAATGAACAAAAATTATCACCCCCCCTCCCTTTCCTTCTCCTCATCAAAAAAATACTCCCTATTAAACTCAGAGTAATGAGGGTAAAGATAAGGACAATTCTTGCCTCCAGTCTTATTCTTGCATATTTGTAAAGAGACGGTTTCCGTGATTTGAACACGTGACCTTTTAATCATAAAGGAGAAGATTTATGACTAATCTAGACCTACCCTCTTTCTTTCTCCTCATCAATGAAAAACTTTTTTTTTTTATACTTCATTAAAATTTAATTGCTAACTAATATTAAAAAACAGCAACTAAAATTTTGTAATATATGACAAGTTGATGTGGTTTAAAAATTTGGCAGAGATCAATCAACTCATGTGGGGTCAGGCATGAAAGTTCTAACCTATTGGAACATGCTTGTCTGTAGCTTACTTGTCAGTGGGTGAATTAAAGAGAAAATAATAAGATGTAACTGTAAACAAATTTCCATTAATACTATTTTAACTAGCTGTGCTTCCCTTCTAGAATATTCACTTAAACCAGCTCAAACTACTGTTTAGGGGGGACATGATATGTAAAGAAGAGAGACCAAGTAAAAAAGAGTGATGAAAAGGGCACATTTTTTAAGGCTTAATCCTTGCTTACCTCTAAAATTTGGTTAGCATTATCAACAACTCCTCGAACTTTGCTTATATCAATGCCATATTCTGAACTAATAGACATCATTTGCTTATCAGTAAAGTTGGCCACAATTTCTGCATCAAATTCTGAAAATGCAGCCCTGTACATAATTTAAAATTATTACTTTCCTTCCTTTAAAGGACAAACAAAAAATATGTTTATGTTGGTGCATATGCAATTATGTATATGAATGCCTTTTTAGCAGAATCAAACCTGAAATCTAGGCGTTTCTTCAAAGTTGAGGTCCAATCAGATCCAACCTGAGCGCCACTTAAAACTAGAAGTTCAAACAACATCCTGAATGGACAATAGTGTTTTTGTTAGTCATCATCATTTTGTGTTTGGTGTGATTTGTGTGTTTGTGTGACAGAAAAAGAGAGTAGTGGGGGTTTACTTGTCATCATGAACTGGAACTCCCCATTCTTCATCATGATAAGCAATATAGATGGGATCTATTTATCATAAGAGACATTGAGATTAACACATTTTGTTTTCAGATTAAGCACCATTGCACTGAGTATAAAAAAGGATATGAATTTGTATCAAAATATTTGCTATGAATTACCTGAATTGGCTGTTATAAAGCTGCATCTCTTCTCCTCCTCAGTTGTCTTTGATGTCAAAGTGCTTGAAGGATCAAGAGGAACAACTCTCTCAAACTTTGCAGACTTTGATCTTCCATAATGTGCAATCTTCATTTTTCTTTGTGCCTGTTGCAGTGCCATTTGTTCCCTCCTCACTGCAGCTATGCTCCCTGGGGAGTTAGTGATCAAAGAGGAAGAGTAACTCAATGATGCCTCTATAGAAGCAGAAAGGCCTGAACCACATGACCCTTCCTTAAAACTCTTGGACTTTTTTCTCTCTAAAGTTGGAGTTTTTATCGAGTTTCTTGGGATTATTACAATCTTTTCAGAACTTGAATTCAGCCCATTATTGTCATTGCCTCTCTTTATTGCTGGAGGCCTTGGGGACTTTGACTTTGGAGAAACTGGGGGTGTCAATGAAGTCTTGCTTGGAAGTGGTAGTGGTGGTGGAGAAAGTGACTTTGGTGTCACTTTCTTAATTGAATTTCTCCTTTCAAGGTTTGGTACACGATTACAAGTTGGTTGAAGGACTGGCCTTCCATTGATTCTAGCGACTGAAGGTGTGGTGGTGGTAGTGGCTTCTATGCCTAAAGTGACTTTGGTCTTGAAGCTACTCATTATGTGTGCTTAATTGGAAAGTGTGATTTTGAGGAAGAGTGTTAACAAAGAAAAGGACTAATGTTAATGGATAAGGAGAGGAATAGCAGAATGATCAGAGGAAAAGAGAGAAGAAATATGAAGGATGTGATGAGGGATTGAAGGAGAGGGAAGGGAAGGATGTGGGGTTTTATAAACTGTAGGGAAGGTAGGGACAGATAGAGGGGAAGTTGTAACATGGGAAGGTGGGGATCTGCCATACAACCTCTTGTGAGGGGCATTACTTTTTGCAAACTAAACCACGAGGGGTGAATGTGACACACGCCACTTGGCAATGTCTCAAGATGATTATTGTTATTAATTCTTATGATGAATATTGGTATTAGATTTATCAGGTTTTAATTCGTAGAGAATCATATATGGAAGCTTATTAGAGGATTCGTTGGGTGGGATAATATTGTGATGTGCTGGAATCAACACCAACCATTTTTATTTTCATTTTTACATGTAACTTCCCCCATTTCAAAGTATATGCAGTAGATATGTGTCTTCTTAAGAATTTTTAGTGTTGGAGTGATGGATAAGAAGGATGAAAAGGCAAGAAAAAGACCAATCAATGGGTCCATTCTTTTTATCTGTATGGAATCTCACTCTTCTTTTTCTTTCTCCCTATGTATGTAGAGGTAGGATCTTTTGATACTGGTGTCAAATTTGAAGTTTGACACCTCATCTGAGAGCCGTCAGATCAAAAAAGATCAACGACTCTGATTTGTAAGCATATGACACCGTTGATCTTTTTTGATCTAACGGCTCTTAGATGAGGTGTCAAACTTCAAATTTGACACCAGTGTTAAAAGATCCTTAGCTCATGTATGTAATACTAGAGTGCATCAACTATTAAAGTTAGTCTATTTACTTCTTTATGGTTAATGTGGGATGAGTTACACTTATTTCTACCTTTAGTGAAATATGTATTAGGGGAGTATTGAAGATATACTTGTATGAGGTCCTTTATAAGAACCATTACAAATTGAGCACTGAGAACAAAGGTTATTTTGTGATTAAATTAAACGGTGTTGTAACTATAAAATAAGAGAGACTATTTTGTGGGGGGTTTTAATGACACTTAAAGTGAGAAATTTTCTCTTTTTTTTTGTTCTTATATTTCTGTACAACTTATGTTTTTATGTATTTTCCAGGGAAACTTAATTTTATATGCTTTTCAAGAGTGGTCCTAACTACTGATATTAACTTACACTTCATGAAAATAATGGAAGATATCTCGAGTTAAAGAAATTTTGAGTCTTAATCCTTACAGGTTGGATGAATGACTTGTTCACTTGGATTGAAGATATGATATGCCTAAAAGTGTAGGCTCTCATAGTCATATGGCTAGTTACAATTCTCTCTATAATATATGATCTTCTCACCAATCAAGATATCTTTGCATTTTTAGCTTCCCTTATTGGAAGGTTTCATCTCTAGTATCTGTCATTTTCTTAAGTTAAATAATATGGAACCAAATCTTATAAAAAAAAAAAGGACCAGTGGACATAAGATAGAAATCTCAAGTCTCAATTTATTTAACTAGAAGAAAGGTCATAATGCTCTAGACCCCTTTCGTTTAATTTTTTTATTGAGTTTTTTTATACATCATCATTCAACCAAAGGAGTTATTGAACTAAAATATCACTTAATTGAAAGTTAAGGGATGAATTTGATAAGCATCACTTCAACCCAAAATCTTAAGACGTTGGGTGAAGAAATATTAATTTTTTTGTATCTCTCTAACACACACTTTTACCTAAGAGTCTTTTAGGCTTGAAGCATGAATATGGCACAAGCTCATTTTTTGTTTACCTTATGCTTTCTTTAATTCCACGTGAAATTAGGAGCAGTGATAATCGAATTCATGTCCATTTAGTCACTCCAGATCTAATACCATATAAAGAATCATTTCAACCAAAAACATTAAAAGACATACGTGAAATTTAATAATTTTGTATTTCTGAAATAGAATTGACATGAAAGTCAAAGTTTGGTATTAGTGGCTGGTTCAGGGGAGAAAATCAAAATATGGATTTCTTTTCTTTTCTTTTTTACTGATCGAATGTCCAGATTTCAATACAAACTAGACTTTATTTTACCTCCATAGACTTGTAGCCATTCTTTTTACCTTTGCTTCCAAGTGAGACTTCATTATTCCATATGGGAAGAACAGAAGAGAGATGTGTAAAAAAGAAAGTACCTGCAGGCATATAGTTGTTTTTCTATATCTAAATTCTGTAACTGTCATTGAATCCTCAACCAGGGGGAGCTGGTGATAGGAAGGGATAGTCTTTTTAGATTTGAGTATTTATTTTAATTTTTTGGTCATATAATTAAGGGATTTGCATTTGTCATTTAACATGACACAACAAACTTTTCTACACACACAACATTTTGTGGGACCCACACTTTTTGAAGAAAAAAAAAAATTACGGCACGCAAAACAAATCTCTATAACATTACACAATCACTTTTCCTACAACATAACTCTTATAAAACCCTATAATTAAGTATTGCATTAATAATTACATACAGGACTCAAAGTCGAAATCATTACATAAGTTAGAATAATTCCTAGTCAATTGATTCACCTGTTTGATGGTGTTAGAATCAAATTTTGGTTATTGTTATTGTTAGCTACTTTCATAGATGCCGAGTGGTAACAAACTAACAACAATGTTACGTGGACAACGATTTTGATAGTACTTAATTGAACATATGTTAAGTTAATAGCTACCATGTTCTTATACCTATCTTTACGCAAGCATGTAGCATAAAACGAGGAAAGGCATCTCACTTTATAAAATTCCCTGCAGGTTATATTCCCTTTTCCTTTTATAATGCGTGATTGATTATTCGCTGACTACTCTGTAACTTTTATAACTTTGGTTGGTAGTTACAAGTTCTTTTTCGTTTTTTTTTTTTGGGTACAGGTAGTTACAATTTCTTAAATACTGTATACAATGTATCTTGATAGAACCATTTTTGGAAGAAGGTAAAAGTAGTTGCATGCTTTATGTATCTCCAAATAAATAAAGTTGTAAGTTTTTTTTTTTGAAATTGTTCCAAGAGTATCTCCTAGCCGAAAAGCCAAGGACTAATTCCCTCGACGCGACCGTGGGTACAACCTTTTTCAACAAAGCGTTTTCTATATATACGGCCAAGAATCGAACTCCTATAAGCATATTTAAAGGATCCAGTTATCTACCAACTGTGTCGGACCTTGTTAGTTAAAGTTGTGCGCTTTAAAAAAAGAAGAGAATTTTGAGAGTGAAAATATTTATTACAACTAATTACATGTGGAGTCATTAATATATATATATATATATATATATATATATATTATTAATAACTTCACATATATGTATATACTAAATAAATATATGTGTATATAAATTAAATTATTTTAACGAAGACAAGGGACAAATGATGGTAAACTAGACCCCAAATGCATTTTGGAAATAGCAGCGTTTTGTTACTTTTGCCCAATATGCATTTTACATATTTGATCCTAATGGATCAATGTTGCCTGTTGGATTTATGGACTGGTAGTTGATGTGTATAATGATCCTATAGGGTAAATCTTAATTAGAGATTTAATTTAAGGATTTAAATGTCATAATTAGATTTAGTGAGTGATTCCGAGTATTTTGACTGTAATCATGACTATGTTATGAACAGTGCGTTCTGCCGGAGAATTTACAGTTTTGTGAATTAACCGGTAGAGCTTAAAAAGAGCAAAATAATTTTAGAGGCATAATTTGATAATTCTGACGAAAAATATGAGTTCAGAACGAAAAATTGTATAGTCTGGCACTTTCCGTGAAAATCTCGTGAATAGTGTTTCTACCGGGTATTTTGTACTGCTGTTTAAGCAACCGGTAGAGCCCAGAAACAAATAATTGATGAAATAAGAATAAGAAAGTCCAATATATGCCAAGCAAGTCAATATAGGCCCAAGAAAATGATAAGTTTATAAGTGTTAAGTTTCAGAAATAAATAAAGTACAGTTAATGGTTCACAGTGCATTTCATTAAAAACGGTGCAGAAACGGTACTGCGAATTATGAATATTGTTCCTTAGGAAATAAAAAATTAATTTAAATAACTTTAGAAAAATAAAAATATATCCGTAGCTTTAAGTTAAGTTTCGGGTAAATTTAAGTGAAATACGCGATAGAAAAACATCCGACAAAAGGGCCACATGTGCCTAAATAGCTTGGCCACTTAAATGAATCACTATTCATTGCAAAAAATTCTTCTTCTCTCTCTTGAAGGGCCGAGCTTCAGCCATGGAAAAGGGGGAGGTTAGGGTTTTGCTTGTTTTGTTGATTTCTTCTTGAATTCTCAACCAAATCTTATGACCCACCACTTGAAATTGATTAGGAACCACTCAAGGAATCCATTGCACCTATCCATTTGAGCTATAGTTGAGTGTGTGAAGAGTTATTCCTCCTCTTATTTTCGGATTACTATTCATAGGAGGAGAAAAAGTGGGTTTTTGATGGAGCTTTGCTTGGAGGTTATTCTCTAGGCTTTGTACAAGTGATTAGAGGTAAGAAACCTCTAATTCTATGGTATTATTTTGTGATCTATGTTTTGAAAATTTGGAGCATGTTTTGAGTGGGAAATATTTGATGTTAGAAGGTGAAAATTATGATGGATTGTTGTTGGTTAGGAAGGATAGTGTTTAGTAAGCATTAATTTGTGATAAAAAATTTGAAAAGCCCTAGTGCACTTTTCCCCTAGGTTTCGGCCTTCATGGCTTATATAGGGTTCATCATGCAAATTTTTATTGTATGTTTGAAAAGGTAAAATATGTTGGAATGTAGTGTAAATGGATTAATTGGTGGAAATGCCAAAGTTGGAAAAAAATCCTACAAATACTTGCTCTATGTTGCGAACTATAGGATGTTTAGGGGTATATATATATTGGTTACATTTTATTCTAATAAAATGTGTTGCATTTTAATA